GGGGGTTAGGGAGGAAGACGTCAGAAAGGCCTGGCAATCGGGGGAGCGTTCTCCGGGGTCTGTCACCTGTATTTAGCGTAACCTGTGATTTTAATAAAAAACCTCAAAAGATGCAGCATAAAGGAATCTTTGTTTACAGCAATAAAGACCACCATTTCAGTAGCAAAATGTCAAGGTGGTATGACAGGTATAGCTAGTTTGGGTTTCGTACAAGTGCATTTTTTGTAAGGGTAAAGAAAAAGGGAAAGTCTTCCCGGGCCCGTGTGAAATTTAGTTTCAATACAAATAAACCTGTGGAGAAAATGGGGAAAAAGAAAAAAGGATTTTGACCCTATTTTCCTATCTAACTCGTGTCAGTCTGCTCTCCCTGCGTTTCCCTTAGTCCACAAATAAAGGAATTAAAAAACCATTTACGGTTTTTCGAACCAAAAGGTTTCCCCGTGTCCCTAAATTAATGTCTGTTGGTATGAAACCGGCTGGCCACACCCCTACATGACAAAATAGAGAGTGAACCCTCGAGACTGCGCCCCCTCTTGGTTATGGGGGGAGGGGCCATATGGACAGAACACGTTTCCCCTGTTGCCTTAATAAAGTTGTTGGGGCACTTTCCCTCTAGAGTGTGTGATAGTGCATTAGTATGAGGGCCTTTCCAAAGCAGCCTTTTGTCTGGGGCCAGTTCCCTACAGCAGCGCAATTAAAGTCCAGGGGAAAATTTACTGTCTTTTGCCATTTTTGAAACTTTTTCCTTCATTTTTTTTTATGTAACCTCTTCCTTGCTCATTTTAATTTTAGGGGAAGTTTTTAGGAAGGCATACAAAATGCAAACTTTATAAAATCCCCTGACCCCAAAAATAATCAAATATGCCACCATTTACTCCAAATTCATTTTTTGTATTTACTGCTTTTATAAGAAAACAGAGGCAACTTACTCATAATATGAGGATTAAAACCTGGTAGTGGGGGGGAATGAACACTTCGTTGGATAAAACTCCCAAAAAATGTTTGGGCCTTTAAGCAGCTTAGGTGTCTGTTTTTGTACAGTGAGAAAATATAATTCATCTTAACTTTTCCCTAGAAAGGTCTCTGGTCAAAATCTAAGCGATTGAGAAATTTTTTAGCACTGCAGTGGTGCATAAACCCTTAGAGGAACTAGCATATGGTGATTTACTCTATTGTGGATATTTTCAAAAGAATTGGCCAAAAAGGCCAAAAGCAGAGCTTACAATAAAAATCCTCCCCCATTGTATTGACATTGGACTTTTTAAAGATGAGAGTAAAGGAGGGGGGGTGAAACTGAATAATCCTAATTTTCATTAGGAGTTGGCACAGATACTAAAGCTAAAGTGGGGCAAAAAGGGGTTTTGTTTTTTTTGTAGTGGGGGAAGGGCATTTTGGGGTTAATCATATTGTTCATGGATGAGCCAGGGTTTGGGGGGGTATAGTTTATGCCCGTAAAAAATGGAAATTCCAGGTCATTGCGTAACGTAGAATGAGGCGTGCAGTATATGGAGGTTATAAGATCTTTAAAAAACCCTTTTACTAGGAAAAACAAAATCCGCAGAAATAAATCGGTTTAGTTGACAGAAATTTAGAGGGGGAAGGGGTTGGGGCCAGGGTAGGATAAGGAAAAGGTGAAATAAAAGCAGTGATAGGGGTGACTGAATGCTTGCGTCGTGTAGGGGGGGGGATAAGCGCGCGGGCGAGAGAGAGCAAGAGAGAAGGCATTTTATGAGAAGCAAGATTTTCATCCAACCTAAAACCCTTTTTTTTTAATCCCGATGCATGCTTAACGTTTATGGTTAGCAGGAAAAATTTATTTACGCAGTTAGGAACCCCTTTTTTTTGACGTTATTGGGCCTTTTGTGATTTAAGGATTTGGAGCGAATTTATCATTTTCCCATTTTACTTTAACTGCATCATGAATAGTTTGTGGGACCTCTCGATCCACACCTTGGAAAGGGGGGATTACCAGCCGAAAAAGGGGAGCAGAAAAGCAGAGGGTTTTGGGGTTTATTGCAAAAAAAGGGAAAGATGACTGTTTCTTTTGTTTCTCTCTTTTTGGCGATCTATGGTTTGCCGTGGTAAGTCTTTTTCTGATAAAACGCGTCGGTGAGAGTTTGGGTACAAAAAAGCCTCTCACATTTCAAATTTCGGAGGTCATAATTTCGGAGACGCGTGTGGAAGGTAATGGCTCAGTCCGTCAAATTTTTGAAACATTTTTTAATGTTGGCCGCCGTAAATGACCATAACATTAAATATGACCCACATAATTGCCTCAACTTTCCCTTTCCCCGAAAATGAATGGTTTCCTTAAAGCCCAAAAATGATTCCCTCCTTCATTTTTGAAAGCTGGCATTTTCAATATGGCACTGGGGGTACTTGGGTTGGGTAAAGGAGAGATGATGGAGGAAGTGTGCTCAACATCATGGTATTTTTTGAAATGGTCCAAAAATTTTACATGTGAAATCAAGAAATTATCTTCTTCTTGTAATGTTTATGATTTTATTTTATATTTCAGATCGCAACAGATTTACGGCCTTTTAAAAGCTATGGCTACCAGTAGTTTGTGTCTCCTGGCGATTCACATTGGCTCGGTTAGCCAAGGCCCCATCCCATTAATAGACCAGGACCAGATTCCAATAAAAACAAAAAACAGTAGTCTTTTTCTGGATTGAAGAAAATTTGTACATTTCTTACCCCCCCACTATAATAGTTAAATGGGGATGGGAAATGATAATACGCCGGGGATACTGAAACTTTTCTAATAAAGGCATTGTGTCTGCCAATGTTTAAACAATTGAAGGATTCCATGGGCTCCTGGGGGCTTTATTAGGCTTACATTTAAAATGTAATCAATAATTTTTTCTATCCAAAAAGGTAAGCAGAGTCAGGGTTTGGGGTAGATTTGTTTATTTTTCTGACACTCAAAGATCTGACCAATTCTACAGCATTGAAACACACATTTTCCCCTAAAAATGAAAAAATGTAACTTTTTGAGCCCCTGCAAAATTCACATAGAAAATTTTAGTTATATATACTTCTTCTCATTGAAAGCAATTAAGAAACGATTATCTGTTTAGTGTATTATTTTTGCTTCCTGTTCTTAAGTTTCATTTTTAAGTTTTGTTTTTGCTCTTTTACTTTCGGTTTTTACAGCAGCTTTAAACATGAAAATAAAATTTTTTGGGTTATGGGAAAAAATATTTACAGCAATTTTGGGTACAATATTCCCACACTATACTGCGGTTTTACATAAAACTGAAATTAGGGCAAAAATAAAGACTTTGCAACAGGAAAAAGGGGGAGCGTTTCGATAGTGCTCTTTTTTACCCAGGTTTAACTATAGGCTGCATCGACTAACTTTCCCTCATACAAGGTTTGAGACCTTTTCTGTCAATAAAAGTTTTAAATACGTGGT